CGGGACCTGTGCAGGCACGGACCTCCTGCTCTTTCTGTAATACACAAGAGGGAGCTCTTGGTCGTAACAACTTTCCTTCGCTCGTCTCAATTTTTGTTGAAAGTGCCTAAGCTTGTCTTGCTTTCAAATCGGATCTTTCAATTCAGTGATAAAGGGATACTGGAAAGCTAAAAAAAAAAAAAAAAAAAAAAAAAAAAAAAAAAAAAAAAAAAAAAAAAAAAAAAAAAAAAAAAAAAAAAAAAAAAAAAAAAAAAAAAAAAAAAAAAAAAAAAAAAAAAAAAAAAAAAAAAAAAAAAAAAAAAAAAAAAAAAAAAAAAAAAAAAAAAAAAAATAGTGACAACCTCGGCTGTACATAATGTAGGCATAGCTCTAAGGAATGTGTTACAACACCCAAGGCTTACGCATCAGTTAGGCTTCCAGTTCAGCAGTGAAAGCCACACGTTACTTCAGGCACCAGGGCTCCCCATATACAACGTACGGAGATCTCCAGCAGCAAGGCTCACCAGCAGCCACGTCCTGAGCAGGGAGCTGCAAAAGCTGCTCCATAGGAGATGAAGAAATGTTGCCCCATGGGAGATGGCAGTGTGTTCTGACATACGTGGCAAACGCGGCCTGCTCTCGGCAATAGGCAGGAATTCATCTCTGATTAACGTTCACAGCCCCCTGTCCTCTCCAGGACAGGTGCCTGCACCAGCCCTGTTACACAGCATGTAGCGCTGGCATGAGGCAGTAGGGACCGTCCCCATTAATTCCGTTTCTTTAGGACTTGGAGGGCTCAGGATGTGCGAAAGGCTGGTTCCCGTCTCTTCTCTGGCTGAACCTGGACTTCAATGGACTGTGTGAGGGGGAGAGATCTGGGGAAAGACTGAAAAACCTCAGAAAGAGACAGACAATGAAAGGTTGGCTGCGCTGTAGCAGATAGGAACCCCAGGCGATGCCCTGGCCCGATTTTAAGTGAAGAATCTGGGGAATCCAGGCATCTTTCCCACAGCACTCCTCCCAGTGGCTCACCTTTTGTTTTGCTTTGTTTTGTTTTTTCTCCCAGTCGTGGCTCAATTTTGATGCTCTTACACTTACCTAATGAAAGAAAGACTTGTTCTTTCATATATGCACTTTTATGCACTCAGATTTAAGGTACTTACAATGTGCTATAAAACACTTAATAAAAATAGTGCACTCTTTACAACTATATGTAGTCGGTCTAATAAAAGGTATCATTCTCTCTACAGAAACTGTTTCAATTAAAGCATTTTAAGCAATATTGTGGCTTCATAAGTAATGGACAGGTTTGAAAAGACCAACAACACCTTTATGCAAAAATAATGGTATATATTTTTCTTTCCTGTTATATACCTAAATGGTTCTTCCCCATTCATAGTCATCCCAGCTATTCATGCTCAGGCTGTAGTTATGCACTCAAAAATGAATGTCAGTCTGTTACCTTCTGTCATGCTGTAATTATTGCTTATAAGCAGCAGCCAATTGAGCAAATGAAGCCATTAGTGTGACTGGCTCTCTAATAAATATGCTACTCTTAATATTTCCTGAGGGAAGCAATACAGAATTTCATATAAGTGAATAAGGATACCCATCTGGTACACTAACTGGCTACCCAAGTGTAGTCTGTTGATGCAAAAACCATCTATCTTAATCTTGGGTAAAAGAACACAAGAAATTGAATATTTAAAAGATACCAGATAAACATTAGTATCTTAAGTATCATCAGTATTCTAAGCCAAAGGGAGTTTCCACATTTCATCTTAGACATAGCCAACACAGCAACAGTGTTGTTAATAACCTGGAAAGCAAAATAATCAGGTACGCTGTGAATCAGCTGGTGTTTTATTTTATGGCTTTTCTCATTTGTTCTATATGCTTTGTTTCTTTTAAGATATTTGACATATGGGTACATTCAGGTATTCTTTCAGAAAATAGAAACACCTGGAAAAGCAATTTATTTTCAAGGTGTTTAAAAATAGGAGTCCAAGCCTGGATGTGGCAATTTGTAACAGATGAAGCCTAGGCAAAGATCATCCATTAAATAAATCCAGGGGGAAAAAAACCCAT